AGGGGCTGGGGCAGGGGCTGGGGCACCTTGCATCTGTACTGGAAGAGGTTCCGCTGGGCGATGAGGGTTAGGGTAGGCGATCAGCTTCAGTTTCCCCATCTGGGGTTTAGTTAGCTTGGATACAAGTTGACTTTCACTAAATGACAAATACCATTGTGGGAAAGGCCATCGTAAGTGTAGCAGGCCCTCCAGATGCAGTTCTAAAATGGTAGAATTCTTCCCACTTTGGGGTGCTCCGTTAAAGGGAGAATCACTGCAAGCGACAGTCGAGAAGGGCTCAGTCTAGGTCTTTACATTAGGACTTAGCTGACGAAAGCACACAGCGCTCCTCACCCCGCCCCCGCCCCCAAAGCCATGAGGTATTCCACACCTAGAGCCGCGGAGAGCCTGTGAGGGTCCCCTCACGATCGCCAGCTCCTGCTGTGCACACCTTTGCACAGCCTCCCTTTGAAGGCGGCCACCTTCTAATTAGTACAATCCTAGTGTGAACAGAGTGGTGAGGCCAACTCAAGATGAGCACAGAGGATTCAGTGTGGAAAGCCCAGAGCCAGGCAGAGGCCTGTGCCCCAGTCCTATATCTACCATTTGCCTTGAGGCCTGGGCGGGTCACTTCACCACGCTGAACCAGAGACTCCTTCACTTGCAAAATAGAAGGGTGGGGTCTGGATTTGAACTCTGCCGTGCTTTCTGGTGCTAAGGTTCCATTAGCATGAAACCACAACATGAGCTGTTGAGGGACCAGGCTGGCAGGAGCTGGTCCCCCTTGGAGCATGCATTGTGAGGCCTTGAGCCACAAATCAGGGATGGACAGTGGTAAGAGAAGCTAAGGGCAGGTTGCTACCGAATATCATGGACATTATACATGCATTGCTACAGAAAAATGATGGTTAAAATCATACAGAACAACACCATGGGGGCTGGAGAACACATGCCTGGGAAAATATTAAGAAATGCTTGGTAGGAAGGGAAATATAATAAAGGGAAGGTTCCCAGGGCTTCGCTTGTATTATAAAGTTTATCATATCATATACTAGGTACTTGGGTATTCGTTTTCTACTGCTGTCTACCATAGCTGCAAACTTAGTAGCTTGCCACATTGCCTCACAGTTCAGGGGCTTGGCTGGCCTGTTGCTTGGACTCTTCTGAGGTTGCAGTGCAGACATTGGCCAGGCTGGGTTCTCATCTGGAAGTCTGATGAGAAGAATCTCTTCCCAGCCC